CCAGCCTTCTGGTTAGCAGTCAAGTGCCTTAGGCACTATGCTACCAGAGCTCCTTATGCCCTTTAGTCTTTAGCATATAATAGAAACTCCTTAACAATAACTGAATTGTACACCGAATTTAAAAAAAAAAAAAAAGGAAACCAATTGCAAAAAATAAGTCAATAAAAATTATTTTCTTCTAATAACTGCCAAGGCCTAACAATTTCTGTTAAAAATGCCACTCAAATGAATTTTAGTCTCAAATTTATCAAGTGACTGAATGATATACAGTGTCATACCCTAGCAACTCAAATTCATTACCGTAAACTATACAAAGTACTTACCAAATGTGCACTCACACGTGTTTGCCACATGTCAACTTGTTTTGGTGTGAGATCAGGAATTGATAGGCCTAACCGGGAAGCCAAAGCTTCAACATAGCCTGCAAGTCTTAAAAGAAAAAAGCCAAGAAGTCCATTTTTAAATGGACACACAAATTTTCTCAGATAGCAAAAAACTAATAGCTACAAATAAAAACAAGATAATTTTACACCTATAACTGGCACTCTAGAAATGCCTTAAACAATTTTTTTCACCTTTCATTTTTTATTATATGTAAATATATCACATTTTAAAAATATTTTTATATTAATATATTTAATAGATAGGTTGATTATGCTTTGACTTAGAGCAAATATTCTCTACAATTACTAAAGAGACCAACTCAAGGGATATATAAAAATAATTTACTAACATTTATAATTTTTGCACTTATTCCAAATACAAAGCCTATCACTTTAACATATGATATAAATTCATGTACCTGGCATCATAAAGCAAAAGTTACAAAAAGTCAGTGGACTAATAGACTAAGAAAAACTGCCTAGAATTTTCAGAGTAATGTCAAATATTTTATCAATTTTAAGTCAACTTCACTTATTGAATGTAATTTACTTTCTGAACTATAAAAAAATTGCTACACAAACTATGCATACCATCAATTCTAAGATGAATCCCCATATGAGATATGTTGAATTTAAAAACAGTACAAAGAATCAATAAAGTGTGATATAAAAAAATGCAGAATATTTTTTATTCTTAAATATACAAATCCCCAATAAAATCTTCATTTCTTATAAAAAATAACTGTCTTATGATGCAATCTAAAAATAAATGAGTTAAAATCTATTTGATCATTTGGTTCTACTAAATATATCAGAAAGCTAGGACAGTAGCTACAATATTATCATTTATTAACCTTTAATGTTGGGAACTAGATGATAGAATGTTTAATTGCAACAGATTTATGCTAGAAATGGCACGAATATTCTGCCTTGGTCCAAAAGTATAGAACCCTCATTTTTATCAGTGGCTTTGGCTACAGACTCAGTGCGGAATCTAACAGACAGAATCTAACAGACAGAGTTACATCACAATTACTGCCTCTGCCTAGATTACAGAGCTAAGCACATTCTCGACCAAGCCCACTTACCACTCTAATGAGCCAAAGAAGGAAGAAACAAAGTCAAGGACAGAGCAAGAGAACGTGTTTATTTCAATGCCTAAGTAATGCCAACCTGGTCTAATTTATACACCCCAGGCTTTCCCTAAACCAGGAAGCAGCCCCAGAACATCTGCCACTTGGAAGAGAGGATGTAAAAAGTGACAGAGAAAAGGATGGATCTTTTCTGAAGAAAAAGACTTCTTCAGTTGATCTCATCATTCCTGCCACATGGAATAAAGAAAACAAAAAAAGGCCGTACACTTTGGTCATCACTCCCTTTGAAAGTTCTACTCTTTAGAAAACATGCCCAGTCAGTATCCTCAGACTTGAGCCATACTCCTTATCTTTGAGCTCAGCGTGAGAGGAGTGAACTGGTATGATAATGGGGATTCCCTGCTTTAGATACTGCCTCATCCTTGACTGTGTCCACAAAATACGTATCAGGACTTCAGTAAATGAAAATTCAATTTTGCTTGGAATGGACTTTTCCTTGGTTTATGGTAGTTTTAGGTAGGTAACACAAATATCAGAATCACTTGAAAAGATTACTAAACACAAATTGCCAGGGCCCTATACCCACAGGAACCAATTCTGTATGTCGGGGGGTCAACACAGGCATCTTTATTTTCACAAGCTCCCTGGGCAATTCTCATGCACAACATAGATTTAGTACTACTGATCTGGAATACTAAATTTAAAATTTTAGTTCTAAAACACAATGAGAAAAAACATATATCCCTTGTTCTGTCATGTCTAAATCAGAGAAAGGAAAAAGAATGAATACACATAAGCACAAATGCATAAACGAATAAACCTACCCAAGTCCAGCTAAATCTGATACAAGATTTCCCAAAGCAGCAGCTAAAAGAATGAAAAATGACAAGTGAGCTGTTATATAAAAGTCAAAAAATCATTACATCATTATGTGATCAATGAAACACTGGTCTGGAAGAGTTATCATATTTTTCAAACTGTAACACTATATCCAAAGTAACTCACTGAATAGCTTTTAATCTCAACATTTTAAAATACACACAATTCTTCTCAGATTAGGGAATTCCATCTCCATTAAGCAGTAGGATTTTTTCTGTTTGGGCAGACAGTATCCATTTTGGTTTAAATATTAAAACCCCTACTGGTGGTGTGGGAGCTCTGGTAGCATAATGTCTAAGGCACTTGACTGCTAACCAGAAGGCTGTCAATTCAAACCTACCAGCTACTCCTTGGAAGGAAGGTTGGGCAATCTACTTCTATAGTGATACTGCCTCTAAAACCCAAGGAGGGGTTGCTATGCTTTAGGTCCAACTCGATGGCACATAACAACAACTGGTGGCATAGTGCCCAAGGCATTTGATTGCTAACCAGAAGGCTGGTGGTTCACACCCACCAGCCACTTCTCAGAAGGAAGACTAGGCAATCTACTTCTGTAGAGATAACGCCTTGGAAACCCATGAGTCGAAATCGACTCGATGGCAGTGAGTTATAATAGTATTTTGTCTTTTTTCTTTCAGATAATATTTCTTTTAAAGAACTTGGATATTTGGAAGTTAAGGAGTGAAGTAAAATGCACAGATCTGAAATTCAAGAAAGACAAGAAGAAATACTCTTTCATTAACTCACCCACCTCACGCTTTCTATACAATGAACACAACACAGAACCATTCTCAAATTTCACCTTCCTCAAGAACAGAGTAGTGGAAAACCAGAATGCAACTAATGAGACTGTTTATATATTGTGAAAAATGTAACTAATATCACTGAACAACTTCTGTGGTTGCTGCCATCAAATCAGATGCATGGCAGCCCTGTGTACACCAGAATGAAACACTAACTGGGCCTCTGCCATCCTCACAATTGTTGCCACGTTTGAACCCATTGTTGCAGCTACTGTGTCAACTAATGTCACTGAACAACTTGTGCATAACTGTCAGATGGGCACCTAATTTGCTGTATAAACTTTCCCTGAAAACACAATAAAGTATCATTTAAAAAAAAAAAAAATGCAAAGCTCTTGTGAGAAGGGCACTGAGACATGAGTTTCCCTCAGTGTCAGGCTCTGTGCATGTATTATTTCACCTGTTGTTGCTGCTGTTGTTAGGTGCCATCAAGTCAGCTCTGACTCATAGCAACCCTATGTACAACAGGATGAAATACTGCCATTCGATTTCCAAAGCTATGTATCTTTACTGAAGCAGACTGTATCATCTTTCTTCTGTAAAGTGTCTGGTCAGTTCAAACCACTGACCTTTTGGGTAGCAGCCCAATGCCTTAACCACAGCAGCATTAAAGCTCAAAGCCAGGCAAACAGCAAAAACCAGAATGTCCAGATTTTAGCTTTCTGGGTAATAAAATAAAAATTGAAAAAATAAAAAAAGAATAGAGTAATAATGGAAGAGGAAGAAGGAGATGAAAGCAAACTAGATTTTCAATCCTGTATTTCCTTCTTTAATTTTTCTACCAAACTGGAAGATAAATAATTTAATAGAGGCACAGAATAGAGAGGTTTGGGGGATAACATATTGAAGTAAGAGAAAAACTTGTTTTAACACAGTCAATGTAAAAGAGTATTGTTGCCATCCACAAAGATAAAGCACCTAAAAGGCTCAGGAAAAAAGTGCTACAAACAAAATTAAGAATAGTATTAAGGAGATAAACTAAAAGACATCTCAATAAGTAAATCTATTCAAAAAATCGTTCTCTTCTAAACCTAACCTATTAAAACACTTTATAATTATACAGCTAACAGAACAATGTCATTACTATTATTAAATACCTGCCATAGTTGAAATTCCCAAAATAATTCCAATAGACATCTCAATTTGGGTTCCCTGAAAAATGATTACAAAGAAATTAATCCTAAAAATTAAAGCTGAAGTGACTACAAAAGAGTAACAAATAAACAACAAAAACAGGTAAAAGTTAAATCAACATGTTATTGCAGCAAAAGTATACAAATAAAATATGCAGAAATGTGCAGACATAATATACTAGTTCACTTAATTATTAATCACATATTTTTATGCAGAAATAACACCAATACTATTTTATTCATTAAAATCAGAATTTCATAAAATAAAAATAGCAGCATATATAGCAATATAATTCATCATTAAGAATCTAGAATTCACATTTTTCTACCAGAGAAAGAAGTTTGAAGCTCTTCAACACAAAGAAAATCAACTCATATAATTTTAAATTATGAATGATACATCTCTATACTATCTATTTACTCTATTAAAAAATTTTAAAAAGCTTACTAAAGCAATTTCTCTTTAAAAAAATCTCACTGCCATCAAGTCAATTTGATTCATATCGACCCCTCCTTGGGTTTCCGAGGCAGTATCTCCATGGAAGTCTATTGCCCAATCTTCCTTCCAAAGAGCAGCTGGTGGGTTTGAACCACCAACCTTCTAGTTAGCAGTCAAATACCTTAGGTACTTAGGGACTCAAAAATTCAGGCTTCTTAAATTTTCTTATAATACTTATTTCTCTGACAACTAAGTAGTGAGACTATACAACTCATTTATAAGCAGCAATAGCATTTGTACAATAGATTTATAGTAAAAATGAGACTCCACTGTATTTCCACTAAATTTATTTAGTGAGATAATTTAAGACATTCAATATCTAAATCATCAGTCCTCTGAAGAAAAGAACTAGTATTCTTACTTCCACATTAACGATGACGGAACCGAGGTGAAGAGATTACAATACTCTAGTCTAATGAATTACTAAGCAGAATAAAGAAGAAAGTCTAGGGTCTATTGTGCCTAACCCAGTTCTAAGTCTTGTCTTGGGCAATGCTGCCATAAATGGACATAATTTTCAAGAGCTCTTGGGAATACCGATGCTTAAAACTTCTAGATTGGGGACATCAAGGTCAACTGGCACAATACAGTCCACAAAGACAATGTTCCATATCCTATTCTGGTGAGTAGTGACTGGGCTCTTAAAAGATTGCAAGTGCCATCTAAGGTGGAGCTGTTCATTCTCCCTATCAGGAACAAAGAATAGTGAAGAAAATAAAAGATGCATTGAAACAACTAGTCCAAAGGACTAATGGACCATGCAAAACTCAGCCTCC